CATCTTTCTCTTGCTCTACATACATGCATGCATGCACAAACACACACGCACAAAAGAGAGAGAAAAGGGAGGACAACGGTGGCCAAACCAGACGGAACAGCATAAACCCAAGATGTTTCCTAACAGCTTCAGAAGACACCTCACAAAGAGAACGACACCTTCCATAGGTGTTTCCTTTCAACTCTCACTTTGCCATGGACAGACTTTGTGACACCCGGCAGAGGAAGATAGAGGAATAGGTAGCGCTGTGTGAAGACACATAGAAAAAATTAAATTCCATCCAGGCAGGGGGATCTGAACAGGGAGCTGATATCATAGCTGGGACAAACACATATACTAGGATCAGCCTTGTGTTTCGGCCATGCGTCATCAACTTGCCTCCAACCTATGGCAACCCCATGAATGAAAGCCCTCCAAAAGGTCCATGACAGCCCTGCTCAGCATTTCCAAATACAACATTGCCAGCCTTCCCCAACCTCATGGCCTTCAGAGGCATTTGGAGCGCAACTCCCAGAATTTCCATGCATTAGGACCATTGACTGGGAATTCTGGGTGTTGCAGTCCAAACATGTCTGGAAGCCACAAGGGAGTCTTGCCTTTGCAGGATGTGCTCAAAGTAGGGCAGCCTCAGTTTTGTCATTTGGGCTTCAAGACCAGCCTGAAGGATATGAGACCCCCAAGTGGTGCAGCGTGTGTGTGGGGGGGGGGGTGGAGAGGGAACATGTCATGCACAGGGATGTGTAAAGGTAAAGGTTTTCGCTTGACATTAATTCCAGTCATGCCTGACTCTAGGGGGCAGTGCTCATCTCTGTTTCCTAGCCCAGGGAGCCAGCGTTTGTCCACAGACAGTCTCCTTGGTCATGTGGTTGGCATGACTAAACACCAAAGTGCACCGAACGCTTTTACCTTCCCACTGAAGTGGTACCTGTTCATCTACTTGCATTTGCATGCTTCTGAACTGCAAGGTTGGCAGGAGCTGGGACGGAGCAACAGGAACTCACCCCATTGTGCAGATTCGAACCAGCAACCTTTTGATCAACCAGGCCAGCAGCACAGCAGTTGAAATCACTGCACCACACACACATTAAACAAAATGGCCTCTAGACTGACTATTCTGAAGTTCTGTCTATACTTTTCATGCTCCATAGCTACTAAGGACCACCAAAAGGGACAAAATTGACTTGACACAAAGGTAACTTTGACACTATGATGCCCCTCTGCATGACATCTCTGTAAATTTTTAAAATTATGTTTGTTTTTTTCAGCACCAAGGTGTCACCTGTGGAATTGAAGGGGGTGGGGGCAGTAAAATAAACCAGCTTTGGAAGATCTGGGGACAAGTCCCTGCATGGCCATGAGGCTAACTGGCTCTCCAGCCCTTGGCCTAGCCTTCCTCATAGGGTTGACGTGAGCATAAAATGGAGAGGAGGAGGGTCCACTCTGCTGCTTTGGGCTCTTTGGGGGAGAAAGTGAGATATAAATATGAGAAGTAAACAAACCCATTCAATCTGTAGATGCCCAAAGAGTGCTTTTTTTCCTACCTCTGTGTGTAACTTTTGAAAAGTAAACTCTTGCCCAGGTCGAGAGACTTGTTCTGGTATTTTCCCTTCTGCCACAAAAGCATCAAAGACTGGTGCTGCTGGTACCCAGGCAACATCTTTTCTCTCAACCCCAAGTAAAGCTAGAGTCCAAAAAACTGAATTAGACTGACTGTGATTGATTAGGGTGTGTCTTGCATTCTAGTCCTTTCCACATCAAACGGATTGTGTCCATCCGCAGAAAGTTCTACCTTTAAAGTAGCCCAAAATTATGTTAAATTATTAAATACATTCAATTTAGACATTATTTTTATATCCCACGTTTCATTGCAAAACAATCCCAGGACAGTCAGAATGTACAAAATGGTATAATTATGAAATCCAATAAAATAGACCAAAACAGTCAGAGTCACACTCAATGCGCTGCGCTGCAGCCAGCTCACACCAAGCGAGAAGATCAAAAGGACTGGCAGAAAAGATTGCTTTCCACCTCGCGCTGATGCCAATGCTGGTATCAATCCAGTCTCCACAGGAAGGGCACTCCGAGGCAGTGCCGCCACAGAGAAGCCTCAGCTGCGTCTTCCTGAAGTCCAGACTTCATTTGATGATGGTATAAGCAGAACAGTCTCCCCAGCACATCTCAAGTCATGGGCGAAGTAACGGAGCGAAAGGTGCTGCTTCGGGAAGTTGAGGCCCTAAACCATTTGGCTCTTTATAAATTGATGCAGCACCTTGAATTGCACTCAGTGACCAGCAGGCAGCCGGTGCAACCCTGAAGGAACAAATACGGCAGGGACTCACATGGCCAAACCAGTCAACACTACTGAAGCTGCATCTGCAGAAGCTGCTGCTTCTGCACTGTCCTCCAGGGTAGCCCCACATACAGTGCTTACCTTTCTATGCCTGCCAGCATTCTAAAAATATGGGCAACTATGAAAGATACCATCCCCACCTGTAGGTCAAGTATTTGAACCCCCTTCAGGTATTTCTGGGGCCTGCGATCCCAACAAATGATTGTCTACATCCTCCAAATGGGCGAGGATGTATCCCGTTTTCAGCTCAGCTGCTTCTTCAATTTAGTGACCTTCCAGGGCCAGGCATCAACATTCCTCCTATGAACCCTTAGAGAATCGTCCCACTGCCGTAAGATATGGTGGTGGCCACTAACTTCGATGCCTTCGAAAGGGAATTAGGGCAATCCATGGAGGAAGAGAGCTCCATTGCCTGCTTCTAGCCATGAGGGCTAACCACAATTTCCAGAACCAGGGTCAATCCACCCCCACGGGGTTGGTTGGTTATGCATGCATGCATTTATATGCCATCCCCTACTCCTAATGACACCTCTCTTTCTACCTCCGTGATCGCTGTCGTTAGTTCAGCTGATTGTGAGACAACTGCTGGGGAGGGGAGCTGCCGGCACTCCACCTCTCTCTGAGCCAGGGAATGAGCATAAAGCAGGCCATAAAGTAGGCAACCGATCCCATCCTGCCTGGGAAGCCTTCCTTGGAAGTTGGAAGCCCACAGGGCGTCCTTCGGAATGAACTGGCCTCGCTCCACTGTGCCCTGAGATACTGAAAAGGGCAACTCCTGTGACATTTCAGAAAAGCAAACTGAAGGAAGCTTATAATGGGAACTCTTCCTGGGAGCCCTTGACTTCTGAGTGCAGCTGCGCTGAAGAGGCTGCCGAGCTAAGCCAGGGGTTCAGTGCTTGCTGCGCATACTGTCTGCAGTGAGATGCAGAAAGGAGGGGGGAAATCGTCCTCCCAAGAGTTCGACCGGTTGCCTGATCAAGAACTATGGAACTGAACTTCCATCAGTTCTCTTTGCAGTGTTTTTCCTTTTCAAATCCCAGTTGGCTGCCCTCTGTCCTAGACTTGAAAAGCAAAAAGCAGCGGGTTGTGGCTTAATCTGACTGAGTCTGCTGGTCTGCAAGAGGCACAGAGCTCAGCCACACTGCAAAACCGATCAGGGCGGGCAGGGCGCACGGCGCTCTCTTGCCGGCAGTGCCACTCCTCCCAGGGCCAGTCCAGCTCTTGGTGACGGACACCTGCCCCCCCAGCAAGGGCTGGTCTCCTCAGCAGCTTCAGAAGCAGGATCCAGCAGAGCATCATGGGCACAGCTGCGCCCAGCTCAGCCCTCCGCATGTCAAGGCCTGCGCAGAGCATCGTCTTCGCTTCCTCTGAGAATGGGCAGATTTATTTATTTTATTAAAACATTTTTATGCCGCCCCACTCGCCGAAGCCACAAAAATGGGAGGCTCACTGAATGTGGGGAAAACAATGGCAGGGATCCATTTACCTGCAGCACCTCTTCTTTCCACGAATGCAAGGCCAAGCAAGGCGCATACCTCCATCAGACTCGGCTACCTGAGCAGCAATGGCCATGCCTGGCAAGGCTTCCACGCATACCTGAGAAGCAATCCATTCAAAGTTTCCCTCTTCCAGAGGAGAGAGGGGGTTTCCTTGTAAAGGGGGAGGGTTGAGCCTCTTTCAACAAGACCATCATATCCAATTCCAGGGAGGCTTTTTGGGGCCACATTCATAAAGCAGAAAGGGAAGGATCCAAAGGCAAATTGGTAGGGGGAAAGATACCAAAAAGACCATTATAGTGCAGCTTAAAACTCTTATCACTAGCAGCTAGGCCTCAGGAGAAGACTTTCCACTTTCCTCAATTGCTGAGGAAAATGCTGCGCAAAAGCCAGGAAACCACCTGGGGGACATATTTGGCCCCCGGACCTAAGGTTCCTCACCCCCATTTTAAACGTAGCTAAACACAAGAAATACTACATCCATGACCTGGATGCAAATGATGTTGTGATAGGGAGGAGCAGGAAGAAGCCTGTTACCTAAAAAAGCAATTCTGCGAAATGGGCCACCAACCATATCCAGACCATCACCAGCAAGTCACCAGCAGCTACTTGGCATCCCTAGGAATGTGGAACAGCTTGTCTCGGGACAGATGCTTTGGTGAAGACCTTCGCCGCAACCACTCCTGCCTGGATGATGCTGCTGCACTGGCCAGGGAGCCTCCAAAGCCTCTGAGGTGTCTAATCCAGACTTCCTGAGCTTCCCACAAGATGCAGTTCCTGTTCCGCGCTCGGCATCAAGCTCAGTGCAAAACAGAGCCTGGGAGCGGCAGAGATTTTTCTCCCCCTCCTGCACAAGGACAGCCCCGGCACGTGCCTTCTGGCACTTCTGAGAAAGAAGCTTGCCTAGTTCATGCCACCCAGATCTGCAGGCACAAAGGTGCGTGCATAAGGCAGCCCTTATTTTGTGCGCTTTATGCGTCCGTTAAAATGTTTAAGGGCCCTTCCACAGAAGAGCAAAAAAAGCACCTGCAGGTCCAACCTAGAGCAGCAGGGACCAGGGCAACGCCTCCCATCCCTTTGCCCAGTGATAACAGGCGGGGACAGGGGACAAAACGACTGGATGATGCAAAAATCAGGGCCAAAGCCCAACTCACCCTTTTCGCCAGCTGCCAGAGAGAGCGGCTTGAGATCCGGGACCTCTCCTGCACACTCCTGCTCCCTCGCAGCAGCATCGCCATCAAACTGAGCCTCTACAACCATGTCAGGGCTGCGAGCATCCCCCTTTCCGGGATCCAGAGACGTGCAGGTGCCTGGAGACTTCGCAGGGGCAGCTAGTTCTGGAGCGGAATCCACTTCATTCTCAGACCCATCGGGCTTGTTTACCTGAAGGACAAGGAAAGAATACATTGCGTGCTGAGTTACATCACAAGGAGGGGCCGGCTGGAAGTCCACCAGCCACCGCCACCCCAGTCTAGAGGCCGTGCAGTCCCTGCTGCGACATGCAGCACAAGGGGAGTGGTGGACATGGGAGGGGGGCTTCTGGGCCTTTGCCACAGAGGCCGTTGGCCCATTCCCTCCTCTCAATCTGAAAGCAGCGCCTGCAGGTGCGAAGCAGCAGCAGGCTGGGTCTGGACTGATCAGCAGGGGTCCCGAGAAAGGCTGAGCTAGCAAGCAGAACCGGCCTAGACAAACCTGGCACGTGGGTGACAAACACACTCCTCACTTCCCAAGATGCCTGCCCTAGCCCAAGATGATGATAATGATATGCAAGTCATCCGGCTGGGACCATGACGAGAACAGAAGGGGGTTTTTTCTCCGCCTAAAGCAGAAAAATTGAGAACTGGAGTAAAGAATTGAGAATTGGAATGGAGGTACAGTGCAGTACCTCCAATGAAATACCTTCTCTTTCAGGATGAGAGAAAGGTTTTTAGCAACATTACGATGGTTTCAGCGATACCGCTAGCAAGAAGCATCTTGGAATTGTTGTAGCTCACAAGCTGAAGACGAGCCGACAATATGATGAGGATGCAAATGGGAAAATGTTAATTTAGGCTACACTAATGGAAGTCTCGCTTCCAAATCCCATGAATACTAGTCCCCCTCTACTCAGCACTGGTCAGGCCTCATCTGGAGGGCTGTGCAGGTACTGGCTCTAGTTGCAGAAATACACTCAGCTGCGCAATGGATCTATTTCTCGACTGGGATGTAAGAGAACATAATTTAAAATCAACCAAGTACATGTAGTTCAGGATGACAAAATTTTATCCACAACCACGACAAAGACTGCTGTGCATGACAATGACTACAGTGCCTAGCGGTACAGACTGTTTTTAAGCTCAGATAATAAACCGCTCCTATTTTTACCGCAACAGTGATTATTTGTGTTCAGTGCTTGTTTTTTTCCAAACTGGGAAAAACTGATACACACTTACAGAGCAATCCTGGAAAGCCTAGATGAGCAAGGATTTCTAGCGATCTCGGACCACGGAGCCCTTGGGCATGGTTAGATGTGCTTGCCTGTGAGGCCCAAGAGACCTCGGTCAGGGCTTGTCGGTCACAGGGCCACTGCTGCAGGCCAAAGGAGAGAGAGTTGGAAGCAAGGGTCCAGGCCGCTGCATTGCCTCACAGGGTGTCTTGAGAGCCCGTAAACAAGGAGCAAGGAGCAAGGAGCTGCGGCTGCTTCGTACAGGGATGGCGATAAACATCCTTTTTAAGGTACTCAACTGCACCTAAACACCGCACATTAAAAAAGGGGCCACCCATCCCTGCCAATATGCTCAGCACCTGAAACATGCCAGATACCAAAAGGAAGAATGGAAGGGAGATCAGGAAAAGGAGCAAGTACAGCCAGTATCCCGAAAGGATACCTTGGTCGACGGTACCGAAAGCGGCCGACAGGCCCAGAAGCACCAGCAGCATCACCTCCCCAGCCTCACGCAGGGCAGCCAGAGCTGTCTCCATGCCAAAACTCAACCTGAATTCGGAGTAACATGGATACAGATAATTGAGGAAGGCCTCAGATGCTGAGCAGTGTCTGGGCAGACAGACAACTGGTCTCGTCCGCAAGCAACTGGGTGGTTGCCACCTGCTCAAGCACATTGCCCGGGAAAGGGGTGTTTTCTTGGGATGCCAAGGAGGTGTCTTCCCTTCGCCCCCCAACTTGCAAGCTAGCATAGAAATCACAGTCTTTAATGGAAAGTTCTTGCACAAGAATTACGAAAACCTACTGCGTAAGACCCATGGTGTTACTGACGAGGAAGACAGCTCTCCCTTATGCCAGTACAAAATTTGCGACATTTTTGAAAAGTTGTCGGTTATTATAGGTCCCTGCTGTACCCAGAGTGCTCATGCAGCCTGTGGGGAAAATTAACCAAGCATCTAGGCAATTTGCCGGGTCACTGGCCCTCACATTAATTAAATGTGGGAATTTAGTGAAAAACGCAGTGGCCCCAACAGCTGACCTTTTGGGGAGGGGGAAAAAAACTGCAGGTTTCTAGTCCTAAGGCTTACACATAGGCAAATCTGGCCTACTGAGATCTCACAAGCCAGAAGGACGACTGGGCAGGATTTCCAATGATCACAGGGAACAGGGAAGGCCCTTCCTCTGTGCTAACAAAACCCGAATGCGCAGAGGTGCAAAGGTATTTCATTCACATGGCCTGTGCCAGTGACAGGAGCCAAGTGGTGACTTTTGCACAGAAAGCAGATGTATGCGATGCGATGGAGAGCTTTCAGAGGTTTTAGCAGAGCACATGCAGCTGCGGCCTTTGAAGAAACAAAATGGTTGTGATGTGGCACGTTCAGGAAGCCCAGGCGACGGGCAGAGCAGGACTTCCGCAGGGCCCGGGCACCCCACCACGCTCCCCCAGGCAGGTCTGAGAGCAAGTGGGTGCACCTCTGCTGAGGCCCCCTCACCCTGCCTTTCCCCAGAGCCTTCCCCAAAGCCACAAACAGAGGGAGATGCGTGTCCAAGCAGCAAGGCAGAGAGAAGCCCACACCGTTCAGCTCGATGCAAAAGGCACCATGCCCAAGCGGAGCACAGGAGGCGACTCGGGAGCAATTAACAGCCTTTCATTGGAACGGCACCGCAGATTCCAGTTTTTATATACCCACACAGCCTCTGGGGGTATCATGCATTTATGAAACTCAAATTTTATTACACCTCACATTTCTATTACTGCGGCTTGTACATGCAGTCATAAAAAGCAATACAGCTATAATTATTGGGGAGATGCGTCTCAGGTTGCTGGCTCAGGCAATTTGCCGTCCTTCTCGACGGACACCGTCAAACGAGCGCACACAGCTCCTGCCTATTATAGGCTCTGCCTGCGTCAAACGTTTTCTATAAAGCAATTTCGCACTTGCTCTGAAGTGATCCGTGTTGGCCAGAAGGATTCAGCAGGAAATTGCTAGCATGTAAGCAATTAGCACTGCTCTTTCCCAGCTGTGGGCTGTTCCTCTTGAGTGGACACTTGTCCGACCTCCTTTCTGGGTTTCTGTGCTAGGGCCTAATACCTCCAGACATATTCAAGGAAGAGAAGGCTTTGTTGACAGAGAAAGACTTGTGGATTTAACCAGAAAGCCTGCAGTTTGAACAAGAGCATGGGTGGATTCCATAGCACAGGGGATCAACATACGCAGTACCAGGTCACCCTGCTGCCAAACCCAAACGGCACCCATCCTGCTCAGGCAGGACGCTGCTTCGGCAAGTCTCTGTAAGTACTTGGAAAAGCAAAGTCCTGCAGAAGTAAGCAACTCTGGAAGAGGAGGTTGATAGCCACTAGGAATCTTTAGGGGCCCCTGTCCATTTAGAGTTGTTGAGGGGTTTTTCCCCCTACAAGCCTGCCTAATTCTGCAAGATAGGGATAGTCAATGAGTACTATTTCAATGCCAATTTTGACTCTCAAGCTCGGCAAAACTGGCTTCAGGAGCTGTCAAGGGCAGGCACAACCCATGCCTTGGGAGTAACCGCTCCTTCCGGATGAAGTATGCCATGCGCTGGCTGCTCAGGGAAGGAAGGCAACACCAGATGTATCCTGAAACTGGCTCGTATCGAACTGCTTTCTCCAAAAGTCAAAGGACCACTGCCAATCCATTCCACAGAGGAGGGGAGATTTTGGGCAGTGTGTTCATTCCTCAGCCATGGTCAGTGACCTCATCCCACCTGCACACAGGTGCTCCCAATGCATAGGAGGCCCAGCGGTTGGGTGGCACCAACTTTATTATAAAGTCTGAGCACCTGTAAAGGGGACAGGTCATCCCGCAAAAGACATTACCTTAGACAGCCCCCTGTCCTCCCATCTGAAGAATGGAGTCACCCCACAAAGCAATGCAGAGCAATGCTGCTCAAGACAAGAGACCGAGAGCGCCTCTTTCCGATTTTAGGCAAGCTCTGACCTCCAAGTTTCCAGTTCAGAAGGAACATTTGGAACAAACTGGAAGCCTTTCAAAGGAAGGATTGGGAGCAAAGGGCTTGTTCACAGTTGCATTTAATGGGATAAAAGGGGAGTGTAGAGGAGCGAAAGAACCACCACTCAAGGGACCTTTCTGGTTTTTGCTCCCAACGCACTCCAGAAGGAATGCATTTTAGCCCATGGATAAACCTTTACAGTAGAATGATTCAGGCATCATTAAGCAGCTGACAAAATCCAGGCTCATTTACTCTTTGGAAGAACATAGCCTTCCTAGGACTGCTTCAAACAGTTAACTTTTATCCCCAGATCTTAAGGGTGGAAAGGAAAAAAATAATAATGCACCATGAACATTTCAACACCGTCAGAGCTGGAACTGAGTGATTTCCAAGTTCTTTTCTTAATATTGCCAGGGAGTATAACTGACACACATCTCACCAGTCAAAGATGCCACTGAGGCAAGGTCTTACATTCCATGCTGAGGGGAAAAAGTGGTTAAATCCAGACACTGCAAATCCAAAGCACCAAACTATGGTTTAGAACAGTCTACTCTAACTTAGTGCCTTCTGGAAGTGTTGGGTTTCATTTCCCATCAACCCCAGCCAACATGGCCAATGGAATCCGTAGTTCAGCGTTATCTAGAGCCCACTGGGTTGAGGAAGGCTGGTTTACAGGTTGGAACAGGCTATAAACTCCTGTCCTCTTACACTTTGATTCCTTCTTCCCTTTCTGAATTTAATAATCGTAGCTTGCTAGGACTTCTGCATCAGAAAAGCTGTGATTTGCAGACCCACTACAAACCATGATTCAGAGGTCATTCCTAGGTTAGTACAACACACAGTTTTTTCCCATTTGGAATCATGGACAATTATGCTTACAGCAAATCAAGAAGTGGAGATGAGAAGGGGTAAGTACAGAAGCCCACAGTCCATTTCAGGAATGGATCCAGGATTCCTGAAGTGGATCCTGATA